TTCGCAAATCCTAAATCACCAATATAGGCATTATATAAATCATCTTGAAGTATATTGCCACTATGTAAATCACAGTGAACAATGTCATTAGAATGAATTGTTTTAAGGTCACGTACAGTGTGAAATAACAAGTCTAATTTCTTCTCCCATTTCATTTGTGCAACTTTATAAAGATTCTCGCATAATGCATAACTAAAATATATTTATTTGTATCTACATCTTTTGATATCCCATGACATTGCAAAATGTGGGGTTTTTAGATCCAATATTTGAATATGCAATTAGCTATGAAATAAATATTAATAATATCATATAATGAGTAAATTAATTAAAGTATAGAGCTATTGAATTTACCTCTTTTATAAGTTCCTCTTGGCTATTTTCTGGTCCATTAAACAATTTAAGTGCAACATTTCGCTTTTGAACTGAAATTTTATATAAACGTGTCCAAACAGCCAAATAAACAGTTGCAAACCCACCTTTTCCAATTTTTCTTATAGATGTTAGTTCACTATATGGAATCAATTCTATCAATTGATTATTTTCTTGCATTAATCTTTCTAAAAAATTTTTACTAACCAATTGTATTTATAACTTATTGCTTCTTGTTTGTTATTTTTTGCTTTTTGCAACCATTTATTAGCCTTCGCCTGATTAGGTAATGTTCCTAAATTGCCATTTCGATAACATAATCCAATTCTATTTTGTCCGTCATTATGCCCATTTTCTGCGGACTTCAAATACCAATCGAATGCTTTTTTTTCATCCTTAGCCTATGCCTTCGCCTTCTTCATAACTGGTTCCAAGATTGTATTGTGCAGCGGAACTACCACCTTTAGCAGATTTTAAAAACCATTTAAATGCTTTATCTTCATCCTTTATAGTGCCAGTGCCATCTTTATAACAGATTCCAAGATTAAGTTGTGCAACAAGATTATCAACATTAGAAGTTTTAAAAACCACTCAAATGCTTTTTTTCATCCTTTATAGTGCCTATGCCGTTTTTATAACAGAGTCCAAGATTATTTTGACCAATAGAACTGATATTTTCAGCAGATTTCAAATACCATTCGAATGCTTTTATTTCATCAATGTCTGTACCTATTCCATTTTGATAGAAAAATCCAAGATTACATTGCCCATTGGAATTGCCATCTTTAGCAGATTTCAAATACCACATGAATGCCCTTTTTTTATCCCTAACTGTTCCTAAACCATTTAGGTTATCCAATCCAAGATTGTGTAAATTGTCGAATTCAATTGATTTTCGATACCATTCAAGTGCCTTTTTTTTATCCTTATCTATACCTTTACCTTCTTTATAGCAAATTCCGAGGTTATATTGTGCAATAGAATTGCCACCTTCAGCAGATTTTAAAAACCACTTATATGCCTTCGTTTCATCCTTTATAACTCCTATGCCATTTTTATAACAGAGCCCGAGACTGCTTTGTCCGAAAGAAATGCCACTTTCGGCAGACTTTAAATACCAGTGAAATGCTTTGTTTTCATCTTTAAAAGTGATCTCTCGTTCTTCGTAGAAGATTCCAAGATTATACTGTGCAACTGAATTTCCACCTTCAGTAGATTTTAAATACCAAATAAATGCTTTATTTTTGTCTTCTGTAATTCCTATACCTTCATAATAATAATATCCAATATTACATTTCCCAATCGAATTACCATTTTCAGCGGACTTCAAATACCATTCAAATGCCTTTTTTTTATCCTTAATAATACCTATACCTTTTTCAAAGCAGACTCCAAGATCACATTGTCCGTCAGAATTACCACCTTCAGCGGATTTTAAATAGCATTCAAATGCATTCTTTTCATTCTTATTTGTACCTATACCTTTTTCGTAGCAAATTCCAAGATTACATTGTCCATCTAAATTACCTCCTTTGGCAGATTCTAAATACCATTTAAATGCCTTTTTTTCATCCTTAAATATACCCATAGCATAATCCAAGATTACATTGTCCATTGGTGTTACCACTTTCTGCGATTTCAAATACCACTCAAATGCCTTTTTTTCATCTCTAATTGTGCCTATGCCTTTTTCATAACAAAATCCGAGATTACACTGCCCATTGGTATTGCCACTTTCGGCAGATTTCAAATACCATTCAAATGCTTTTTTTTCATCTCTAAATATGCCTTCGCCTTTTTTATAGCAAGTTCCAAGACTATGTTGTGCAGCTGAGTTTCCGATTTCAGCAGATTTTAAAAACCATTTATATGCTTTTTTTTCATTCATTATGGTGCCTATGCCATTTTTATAATATAATCCAGCATAATATTGTCCTTGGGCATTACCACCTATAGCAGATTCTAAATAACACGCGAATGCTTTTTTTTCATCCTTAGCAATACTTATGCCATTTTCATAGCAGAATCCGAAATTGTACTGCCCATTGGAATTGCCACTTTCTACAGATTTCAAAAACCGCTCAAAAGCCTTTTTTCCATCTTCAGTGGTACCTATCCCGTTTTTATGACAAAGACCAAGTCTATTTTGTCCAAAAGAATTACCACATTCTGCAGATTTTAAATACCATTCAAATGCCTTTTTTTCATCTTTGAATGTGCCTATACCATTTTCGTAAGCAAAACCCAAGATTATACTGCCAATTGGAACAGCAATCTTCTGCGGATTTCAAATACCATTCAAATGCTTTTTTTCATCCTTAAATGTACTTCTGCTATTTTCATAACAAAATCCATGATTATACTGTTCATTAGAATTATCACCTTCAGCAGATTTTAAACACCATTCAAACATCCTTTTGTTAAAATAGTCATATTTAACTGACTTTAAATACAAATCAAATATTTTTTCATCTATTGCGTCTAAGCTATCATGCAATCCAATATTATATTGTTCATTGAAATTACCACTAACATCTAGCTCTTTGAATAGTATTGGAAACCTACGGCAAATTGGGTAGTTTATAGATAGCATTTCAAATTCTCCGTTCAAATTTGCAATGTCCTTTCGATCGTCTGGGTTTTGACGCCATACTGTTTACAAATTATGCAAGGAATAAATAAAATTATGAAATATAATAAAATAAAAAGTAAAAATTTACATTCATTAATAGAGGATTTTCAAATTCTCCGAGTAGAAACTTTTCCCGTTTACCACTTAAAACATGACCTAATATTTGATTAGTGCTCAAAGTTGCATAAGGAACCTTTTCATTAAAAATCTCCCAAATAAGCATCCCAAAACTAATTACGAGAATAAAAATTATTAAAAAATAGAGCCAATTTTATTTTAAAGGTTTTGAGTTGTTTTCGGATTAGTGCAATCATTGAATTTTATAGATCCTATGAATACTGCATATTGCCATTGTCTTCATAATAGCAACTTGCATGAGTCAAATGATTCATAAAATCGTACTAATTCGAAAACACGATAACATTAACTATAAATGCCTGAACAATTCACAATTAAATGTATAAGCTTCATCGAAACTTGTACCAATTACTCTATTTATTAATCTATCAAATTTTTTCATTTGCTCGGGTGCCATCCAACGAATATTATCTGGTAAAATAAACTTAATTCGATCTTTCATTTGATCTTGCAATTCACGTATGTGCGGTGTGTAAACGAAATTTCCAAGTTTTGTATCAAAATTATGTGAGACCTACAAATTTATGGATCTAATGTCATTAAACATTCAATTGCGGTTTGATTTTATTTGATTTGAAGGGAAAACGTCATAATATTTTACAATTACTTAGAACATCGCTTTTAAGATACTCACAAAAACATTCTTACATCTAAGATCACGATGTAAAATAGTTACTATACGTAAAAATATAATGGCACGACTGATATTTCGAACAATCTGTATTTTTCTAGCCCAAGGTATATCGTGTTTACTAAATAGAACTTCTAATGATCCTTTCTCAGCCCATTCAAAGACCAAAACTTCACCATTATTGATATTTGAGAGTCCATGGAAATGGAGAATATATCTTGATTTCAATTCTTTAATGATTGATAATTCAAATTTTAAATTTAGTGAATTTAAATATATAGACTTTATGGGTTTGCATGCAACTTCATATTCATCTTTATAATTTCCTTTATGATACTCTTGTGAAAATTAGTCTCCTCACAATCATAAGGTTCGCTTAATATACTTGGATCGATTCTTTTTACTTGGACATCAATTTTTGTGTTCTTCAAAATGTATTTAATCTTAGCTAACAAGTCAGTCTTTTGTTCTACTTTCACGAGGGCCTAAAACAAATGCATATATATATATATATTAGACATAATAAATATAAATAAATTTCACATGATATTTTAATGATTTATGCTTACTTTTTCAGTGCTTTTTATGGCTTCGTCGACTTTTTTGTTTCGTTAGCTCTATTAGTTTCACTAAACTTCGTAATAAACACAGTAAACTCAGTAATATGAAACTTTTCCATACATATATAATACTCTTTAATTAAACGTTCATATTTATGTTTTGCACTGAAAGGTTCATATCGACTAAACTTTGATATATTGTTAATGTAGCATCTGATATCTTTCAAAAGGTTCTTAAACCTTTTAAAGGTTAAAGAAAACTCTCTTTATAATAATACTCATATTCTTCTACATTTCTCCAAATGTCTCCAATTGCAAATGCTGCAAAATCAGCTCGATCTAACATAATTAAGCAAATTTCTTTATTACATTCGAAATCTTTAATATAATTTGCAACTTTTATAAATCTTTTTCTACTTTTTAAATCAAATTATGTACCATAGAAGATATTGGAAAAGTTGCGTAACTTACTAAGAAGTTTTTAAAGTTCATTGTTCTACCTGTGACGCATTATATATACAGCTGGCTATAATAAAGCCTGAAACTTTATTATTTTTTTCAATAATGTAATTACATTAAAAATTCAAGATTGTCATTATATTTAATAAACATTTGTTCCCTTTCCGACAATGTTCTTCTATTTTACTTTCCATTTCTTCAATCGCAATTAATACTTGAGATTTTTAAGGTTTATTTTTTGGTATCCACCATGGTTCGTGAATAAATCTGATTTGCATTGTAAGGATTTTTCATCGTCAATTTTGAAGATATCCTTGAGTAAGTTACGTCCATGGTTTAGTTCATAACATTTTATTGATTTTTTCATATATTTCCTGTGCAAAATGATTAATTTTTTGATGTCAGGATAGGAAAAAAAAATAATTTGCAATCCCAATCAATCGGATTTTAATCTTACCATTACATGGTTAAAAATTTTTATTGTTGCTTTTAATTTTCCAAAGTGAGCCAATTTTGTTGGTAATTCGAATGTTGCACCAGGAAAAACAATGTAAAAGCCATTTACCATGTCTTCTACCAACAACTGTCCGAAGATGCCAGCAATTTGTAAAAATGGAACCTTGATCATATCCACTTGTTTATCAGCTAAGTTTCTGCTCAACAGGCCATTCAATATTGATTGGTTGATTCTAGCTGAGCGACAACGATCTCCAACTACTTTAGTTGGAGTTGCTTCAGCAGCAAACTCCCATTCACCAAGATCTATTCCTGCATGACTTAAGAATCGAACATCGCACTTGCGTCCTTTCTTATGACTTGTGGATTTACTCAGAGGACAAAATGATTCACCCCTAATGCACAAGAAATTTATAAGCTTATAGGTTGTTAAAATCAAAAAGGTATTCTTTATTTACCATTTACAATGTATTCCATTTCCATTTAGTAATCCATCAACAATGTAAGCACATGCTTTTACAATAACATCAATTTCGGTGTGATGTTCACCAGCACAATCTAGCAAATCATTTCCGTCTTTGACCTTAAAGAGGCTATATAGATAAATTAGAAATATAAATAAAGACAAGCTACAAATAATAAAATGAATACGAGTACTCACAAATCACTATAAACTCTAGTTATTTTATAAAGACAAGTATTAACTGATGCATCTGCATGTTGATTGAGACAATATTTGTATGCTTCATTGACATTGCCTTCCTTTACCATCTATATACCAATAAAAAAATAAATTTATATGAAAGATATTACCAAATACACACATATATATGCCTACCCTTTCTACTTTTGCAATGAACTCATTGGCATCTTCGGCTAACTCAGGAACTTTGAGAATTTCTTCGTAATCTTTCGTCATATGCTGACGTTCACTGGCAGAAAACCATCCCCGCATATGTGCTGAGAGATCGATGATTCTTGACATGCCATATCTCAAGGTAGCTTTATCTGCTGCATTTATTTTCTTCTTATCTTTTAAGATTTCAGCATGCCGAGATATATTTTCAGCAAAAATATCCTTAACGAATTTTCCTGAGGGCAAACTCCAAGTTTGTATGTTAGTTGGCATACTGTCCAAAGAAGGAATTTCTTCGTTGTCATCGTCGTCATCGTCAACGTCATCGTCATCATTGTCATCATCGTCGTCGTCTTTATCGTCGTTATCAACGTCATCGTCCTCGTCATCATCGTCGTCTTTATCATCGTCATCAACATCATTGTCATTGTCATCATCGTCATCACTATCACATATAGAAGTGAAATCTGACGATGATGATGGTGGTGGTAGCACTGAACTATCAGGAAGGACATTTCCAGCATGCCTCTTAAGTCTTTTCCGTTCTCTTTCGACTGACGCAAAATCCATCTCAGAATTTATGTGGAACCTTTTCCGAGCTATCTTTAGGCCATCTCGCATGCCCTTCTACAATAAAGGAATAAGTTATAACAAAATATCAAAGGTTCATAAAGCACTTGCCTTATCAACGGCTAATTCCCAAATTTTTTTGTTTTTTTTTTTTTCCTTAGAATTTACCTATATATATATTAATACAGTATATAATATTAATACAATTAATTATAACCATATAATAAAAACAGGAGGAAGAAAGTCCACAACAAGCCACGGGAACTCGTCCCTCCCTCAGCTGGGCATTCGGCCTCCAAGTTTAACTCAAGTGAACATTCCTTGTTCGAAAACAATATTCCTCATCCGAAACATGTTTCAAACAGTGTTTCTATGCCCACGTTACCCAGTGTTTTTAAACTCGTTAAAACCCTCTCAGACTCGTCTGCTGGATTAGTGAACTCGTCACTACCCATGTTTTTAAACTCGTTAAAACCCTCACAGAACTCGTCTGCTGGATTAGACATAGAGTACACTTTTATCCTCCTTAAGAATGAACTTATTTATACTTCCCTTCAATTCTTTCTCAAAATTAAGGATTTTATTATAAGCAGGATGTGTACTTGTATATATTTTCCTCAGGCATCTCAGTTCGTCACCTAAGGCTAAGTGGGACTTGTACTTGGTAATTGATGTTGACTTCGTTTGCTTTTCGATCCAGTAGGTGTCCCAATCGTTTAAGTTTCCCCAGGCGTTAAAGTCTCGGCTCCAATAATCTGAATGCAAAGTTATATTCTTTATTATTTGATTAATGAAAACAATAATAGGTACAAGGTATACAAGGTAGACTCACCCGGATATTTCAACTTTGAGCGATCTTCACTTGACATATCGAAAATATCTTGCTCAAGAATAGTATATACTTTGCAAGAAAAAAAAGCGTTATTTATAATCAGTAAGGAGTATATATGTTCTGATAAGTAATATGATGTAATAATTACTTAATATTAAGTAAAGTAATAAGTCAGGTCCCTTTCGCTGTTTGTTTTTGTTACACAATATCCTTGGATATTATTGGTTCCGGACCAGACATTTTAAGGTCGGAGATCGATTTTTGCTTGACATAAGGGTACCCGTACATAGATGTACTCTTTCATATGTACCTATATATATATTTGATTGTAGTATTTATTATTAAATAGAAATGCTGGTCATATAGCCATTACCATGGATATCAAAATTTTAATTTATCGCAACTGTAACCATAACTTTCTGTGTGTTGTACGGTTTATTGGAACAATTTCACCTGCACATCTAGTCCGAAGAGAAACAAAGGATATTGTACACATAGTGCTGCACATTACCTTGTATTAGTTATACAATAGTTTTGTATTATGTACGTACAACAAATACATAAATACATGATATATACTGTACGTGCTTTAAATTTACCGAATCATGGCTAATCGAAATACATTGAATGAATTAATTGAAAGAATTATTAATGAAAGAACCGAAATTATAAAATTTAATTATGATTCATCTACCAATTGTGAGGAAATCAGTAGGGGCCCGTTTGGAACTGTTCGAAAAGCGACCTGGAACAATCTAACCATTGTTCTTAAAGCCTAAATATCAATACTCATGATATCGACGGAATCAATACGGATGAAATTGTTAATGAAACATTTATAAATGCTTTTATCAACGAGATAATATTTTTTTACACATTAAACCGTACAAATTTAGTACCTCGATTGGCCGGCTTTTTTTTAAAAAATAAAAATTCATAAAAAATTTTACAAAATTTAAAAACCCATCTGTTATTATAATATATATATAAATTTTTTTTGTTAAAGGTTCCAAAATTTGGTTCTACCACAAAATCCAGAAAAACAGATTCCCGGGACATAATATCGACAAAGCTGGCCGATTTAGTCGGTATTACAGTATTATGTTCTTTCAGGAATCCGTTTTTTGGGATTTTGTGATAGAACCTCAAAATTTGACCCGGCCGGGTTATAAACTAAGGAATTAACTTTGCCTTATATATTATATTTCTTGCTGAATTTAATATCTTAACATTTCCTAATGTGTAGCTTCAGATGCTTATTGCCGTCGACAGACATAAACATCCGAAT